CTTGAGCAACAGGTGGATGTTAGTGCCAGCTTCTCAGGAACAGGGTTTATGTGGGGGAGGAGAGTGGGGATAGAGAATCAAGAATTGATGCCCAAGAGTGCTTTTGCCATGAAGAAAACTCTGTTTGTGAAGAGAAGCAGAAACAGAAGAACAGGTAGAACTAGGATGTGAGAAGATTGGGGCTTTCTTTGGTCTTCTGCTGTGGTACGTAGGTCCAGGAAAGTACATTCATAACTCTTTGTGTCTATTTCCTTTCTTAAGGAGTGGCAAGATTAAATCCTTAAAACGCATCTGCACAATAACCTCCCCCAAGAGTTTTGAGCTCCTTGTGTTTCAGTGTTATACAAGTGTAAATGGTTCCCCCAAAAGGTCAGGCAGTATATCTCTCGAGAGTGATTTATTGTTAGTAGCTCTGGTTGTTTATCTCTTCAGCAAGTTTGCTGCCAGGAATAGAAAGAAAATCCTGAGACATCTTATTCTTCATTAGATGGCAGGGGAAATGGTTTAAAGCCCCTGTCCAAGTTATTAATTAACCACTTAACTCTGTTCTATAATAAATTATAAGGAATTCTTTTTCCTCCTGTAAGAATAGGAATATTGAAGAAAACAAAATATAGAAAGTAAACAATGTGAGTAGTGTAGGTTACTGAAAAATAGCACTTGTCTCCTCCTTGCAGTTCAGTTTCCACAAAAGTGATTCAAGGCTTTGAGCATCCATTAATATTTGGTTATAATTTAATCAACCTTCTCATTCACTGGGGTAAAATAAGCTGTCACCAGGAGGTAATCTTTGGGTGCCAGACAAATGACTTCCCTGATTTCACCAAGGACTCTAGACAGTCTTTAGATTGACACTAATGGTAGGAGTAATGAGTGAAGTTAGCCAGAACCATTATCACCCATACACTGATGTGAACTTTGGGGTTTTTTCTCTTTACATATTTAACACTCAAAGACTGCCAAGTATTTTTAAAACCCTAAACTTGTGAGACTTTTGACAGCTGAGAATTTGAGGCATTGAAGTGATGGAGGGCTTATCTAAAGTTAGGCCAGAATGAGACTGTGAAGAATCTAAGTCTATTGTGGGGGAAAAAATGGAAATTCCTTTCCATTGACTAATGCCCCCAGCTCCCTTATCTGCATCATTCTCCTCCCTGGTGGACCAGGGCCTTACTGTGTACGCTTCCTGGACCTCTCACTTCAGAAGAAAAGGTTATGATTAATGAATTCATGGTTGAATCAGACTGGTGACAATTGAAATTGTTATTCCTCCAGAGGGGATTTGAATTTTTAAGAGTATGTACTCAGAGAAATGCTTAGCTTAAGGGGGTAAAAATGAGTCTTTGACAGTGGACTTTTAGTCACGTGGTCTCTGGTTGGACATTGTAACCACAGGCCCTCGTAGAACCAGTTCAAACTGACCCCATCTCATCAATAGAAGGTTTTTCAGGGTCAAGCCAGAAAAATTTGCAAAGTCATGTAGCAAAAGCGTGTACAGAGAAGAAAATCTTGACCCAAAATGACCCCGGAACAAAAGATTCTCTCCCACAAGGAACCAAAGACCAGAACACAGCCAGAACCTGAAAGTTGGACTCTTATCGGAAACAAGGAGTCCGTTGTCTAGGAAGCTCCAGGATTAAAGCCCCTTCCAGGAACCCTCATACACTGCTGGTGGGAGTGCAAACTCGTGCAGCCACTATGGAAAACTGTATGGAGATTCCTCAAAAAATTAAAAATAGATCTATAATATGATCCAGCTATTCCACTGCTGGGTATTTATCCAAAGAACTTGAAAACACAAATGCATAAAGATACATGCTCCCCTGTGTTCCTTGCAGCATTATTCACAACAGCTGAGACTTGGAAGCAACCTAGGTGCCCATCAAGGGACGAATGGATAAAGATGTGGTATGCATACACAATGGAATACTACTCAACCATAGGAAACGATTAAATCTGACCATTTGTGACAAGATGGATGGACCTTGAGAGCATTATGCTAAGTAAAATAAGTCAGAGGGACAAAGTCAAATACCGTATGATCTCACTCATGAGTAGAGGATAAAAACAACGACATATAAACACATAGAGACAGAGATTGGATTGATGGTTACCAGAGGGGAAGGAGGGTGGGAGGAGAGCAAAAGGGGTGATTAGGCACATGTGTGTGGTGATGGATTGTAGCTAGTCTTTGGGTGGTGAACACGTTGTAATCTACACAGAAATAGAAATATACAACAATGTACACATGAAATTTATGTAATCTTATAAACCACTGTTACCACAATAAAAAAATAATTAAAAAAATAAAATAAAGCCCCTTCCACACCTTTCCATAAATGTTTGAAGCCCTGCAATCAAAACCTGCTGTGCCAGCCTTTCTACATACCTGCCTGTTCTCCTTAACCTCTTAAATTTCACCCCAAATCCTGAATTAGGGAGACTTATCTAGGAGCTTATGCCTCCTGTCTCCTTGCAGATTGATCTCGAAATAAACCTTTTTCTTTCCTCAAAAGCTGATGCTGTAATAATTGGCTCTTTATACTCCTCGGGCAAAAGAACCCCAGTTTTGTACAGTAACCACACGTGTTTGAGGCAAGGAGCATCTTCCTGGTTTCCTCAAGTCATAACAAATCAAAGATCGTCTGCTTTGTCAGTGTGAAGACTGGTCCTGGTGCAGCTTCCATCGGTTCTCTGAAGCCCAAGAAACAACAGAGGTGGAAATATCTATCCCATCACTTGTAGGGCTATTTTCTTGAAAATGAAAAGAGTATTTTTACTCATGCACCCTCTATTAAATATCATTTACATACATGTATTTGAGAACAATAGCAAAATGTTTCTTTCTTAAATTCTCCTTTCTGCCATGCTTCCTCTTTCCTGCTGGTAAATAAATCAAAGATAGCAGGTTAAATTAAAGGCACCAACTGGTTGCATGTCAAGGACTGAGAGCTTACCTTAGCACAGTGGGTCTCAAATTTGAATGTGCCATGTGCATCAGCATCACCTGAGGAGCTTGGTGAAACACAGATTGCTGGACCTCATCCCTGGAGCTTCTGATTCAGTAAGTCTGGAGTGGGGATTGAGAATTTGCAGTTCTAACAAGTTCCCAGGTGATGCTGATGCTGCTGATCTGAGGACCACGTTTTGAGATCTACTGACAACTTTTACTTTCATCTGACTCCCCTCATTGAGTCTCTGTTGGAATAATGAAGAGTGGACACAGTAGTAACCAGTATGTTTTGCTTTGTACCAAAGAAACATAAGCCTTAAAACGTAAAACTTAATCATTAGGGACTGGGCCAGTGGCGTAGTGATTAAGTTGGCATGCTCTGCTTCAGTGGCCCAGGGTTGGGAGGTTCAGAACCCCAGGTGCGGACCTACACACGACTCGTCAAGCCATGCTGTGGTGGCATCTCATATACAAAATAGAGGAAGACTGGCACAGACGTTAGCTCAGGGACAAATCTTCTTCAAGCAAAAAGAGGAAGATTGGCAACAGATGTTAGCTCAGGGCTAATCTTCCTCACCAAAAACACAAAAACAAAAAACTTAACCATTAAATTATTCCCTACCTTAATTTTGTCAAGACCAGCTGTTTCACATGACTTACATTTTTTTTTTTTTGAGGAAGATTAGCTCTGAGCTAACTACTGCCAATCTTCCTCTTTTTGCTGAGGAAGACTGGCCCTGAGCTAACATCCATGCTCATCTTCCTCTATTTTATACACGGGACGCCTACCACAGCATGGCTTTTTGCCAAGCAGTGCCATGTCCACACTCGGGATCTGAAGCAGAACATGCGAACTTAACTGCTGTACCACCGGGCTGGCCCCTCATATGACTTACTTTTTAAGAACTAACAATTGTGTACACCTAGACAACTCCTCCAACTTGTAATAATAACAGTTCTATAGACTCCACTCCATTCAATCAAATAGAGCTATCTGTCTGCTCACAGACTAAGTTTCTCTGATATGTTGGAAACTCGATGTGTTATCCGTCATTTGGTTTAAAAATCAAACCACACATGGAGTATTAAGACTAGTTGGTGTCTTAATACTCTTCAGTGGGTTGATAAAGATCTGGTAAAGATTACCTTGTGTTCTGATTCCATTCAGCTGCATTGTGATAGAATAGATTTCTTCAGGAGCTATTTCAAATGTCACCTTTTCGTGAAACATTCCCCATTTCTCTCAGGCAGGAGGGAATGTCCCTTGCATGGTTCACATCACACTTAGTTTACATGCTGTTGTTTATCACAGGGAATTACAATATACTCTAACACAGGTGTTTTTTTTTTTTTTACCCTCAGTAGATTGTGAGCTGTTCAAGGAAGGATGGACTACAATTTTTTGTAACCTCAGTGCTAATTATAATGCTTAATAAATGTTGCTAAATGAATGATATTTTTAAAAGTCATTGTGAGACAAACATTGATAAATAGCAGAAGAGGAGAACCTCATTCTGTCAGTAACGGTGTATTTTTTGGAGTAAATGATAAACTCAATGATAACAAATACAATTTATTAATCTTGTGGCTGTTTTGAAATATAAAGAACATTTGATGAATGAACTGGTTTTGACTAATAAAAAGATGACTTATTATAAAACTAATGTATATTTATTGTAGGAAATCTGGAAAATACAGAAGATATTTTAAAAATCACCCCTGGTTCCACACCCAAATTCAATAACATATGTAGTCAAAATGAAAGTCCCTTTTTTACTACCATGTTCATTCTCCTTTCCCAAAAGATGATCATGTTAATGATTTGGTTTACCAAATTCACATAGATGAGATCCTATTTAATATACTGTTCTCTTACTTGAATTTTCACTTAATATTCTATATTTTGATTACTCTGGGTGCCAATAATCCTAAATTTACATTTTATTCAACTGCTTCTTGTCAGGGGAAGAATATTTTCATGTTTCTGCATAGTTTGTCTTCATAAGCAAAGGGAACCCACAAGTTAGAGAATGTCTCCACTTTGCAGATCCATTTGCTCCTCCCACTCAAGGGAGTTACACCTGGAGCCATCTGCTCCCCTCCAAAGAGTAATAAACTTCTCGCCTCCAAACTATGGAAACATTGCAAGATTGTAAACTCAGAGATGCTTGTCTTATCTTCTCCCTGGGGACATTTATTTATATTCCAAAGGGTAAGAACCTAGCATCCTTTCTCTTTTGTTCCCAAGGAGAATTTGATTATATTAAACAATAATGTTTTCTCTCCCTCTCAGGAGAGAAGAAGGAGAGCAGCTGTTCCCCTTGTGTATGAACTCCCAGATTCATATTTATGGGCTTCCTCACCTACAGTACAGACCCTCGTATATGTTGGGTGACATCTATCTGGCTTTCATCATGAATGATGTTCCATGAAACAGATTTCTGTAAGTCGGATTCCTAGAAGTGAAAATGTTCAGTTAAATGGCATATACATGTAAAATTTTGTCGGATATTATCAAATGGTCCTCTAAAAAGGCAACGCTAATTTTTACTTCCATCAACTGTGTATATTACCAATTAAAATTTTTTTTTTGCTAATCTGATTGATAAAAATCATATTACCTTATTTTAATAGGCATTTGACTCTTTACTGGTTAGGTTAATAATCTGTCCTTATGTTCATTGTTCGTGCATTTTTTTTTCTGGTCATTGCTTGCTCTGATGCTTTGCTCATTTTTCTACTGTGTTGTTTTCCTTAGTGATGCAGAGATCATTATATATTATGAACATTAATGTTCATCTGTTCTATATATTACAAAGTTACCCCCACCCCCAGTATATTGCTTTTTGTTGTTATTGTTTATTTTACTTTGTTTATGGCTTATTTTGCTATATCAAAAATTTAAATTTTATGTAGTCCATCTATCAATCTTTTCTCTTGTGGCTTCTGGGTTTTCTATCTTTCTTTATTGTGAAAGGAATTGCAAATTGACTCCCTTGGTGAAATCCAGCCCCCTTGAAGCATGGCTTAACTTCACGCTAAAGGCCAGAAAGTAGAAAGTCTAGAATGTAGAAAGAATACATTTCACAAAATCCATCAAAGCTTGAGTTCTACATGTGAACTGTTCCTAGAAGACAAGCCCCTTCTCCCCAAGATTTAGAGATGGAAGTGATGTGGGTCCACGCCTTTGCTATCCTAGCTGTTTCCACAGGGGAGCATAGTGGGAGGGGCATTTGGTTTTCAGAGACAGCAGCAGCAGAAGCCCCAGTTCCTGGTTTTCACTTTCATGGATGTTAAGAAACAGGGCAGATGGGGGATTCATTTAGCTGGTATGGAATGGCTGTGGTGGAGGAGTCTTAAAGTTAGCTGATTCCCCAACTTTTCTGATCATGAAGTTTTCTGATCACAGAAATTATTGATTATTTTGGTGGGCCAGATCTGCAGTGATGTTCTGGGAATCTTTTTTGAAATTTCTGCTTAGATCCTGCTCCTCCCATCCCTTCTGATAATTTTCTAAGCATTAGGTTCTCCATATTTCATTTTTTCTGCTTAAGCCAGTTATAATACTTTCCATGTTCAGTTGAACCCTGACTGATATGCTTTGCAATGCCTCCTTAAAGTTATACACTAATTTTCTTATATTTTCTTCTAATACTTTTACAGTTGTGGTTTTTTCATTTAAATTGGGACTATATCTGGAGTTTATCTTTGTGCTTGGTGTTGAGTAAAGATACAATGGATAGTTACTAGTTCCAACAAGATTCTTTGAATAGTCAATTCTTTGCCATGGATTTCAAATTTTAGATTATCTTATATCGTATCCCACATATACAGATCCAGGAGTCTGCTTAGACCCTTTATTTCATTCTCTTATTTCATTCTCTTTTTGAAAGATTTGTCTTTTCTTTTTCTTTCTTTCTTTCTTTTTTTTTTGCTGAGGAAGATTCACCCTGAGCTAATATCTGTGCCAATCTTCCTCTATTTCGTATGTGGGTCGCTGCCACAGCATGGCCACAAATGAGTGGTATAGATCCACACCCAGGAACCAAACCTGGGCCACCAAAGTGGAGTGCACTGAACTTAACCACTAGGCCACAGGGCCAGCCCCAGGTTTGTCTATTATTTTAATAGATATTGCAGTGTTTTAATGACCAAAGTTCTCCAAAGTATGTTTTGAAATCCAGCACGGCAAGTTCACCATCATAATCATGTTTTCATATTTCCATAGGAAGTTGCTAACGTTTACATTTGTAGATGAACTTGAGTTATCTTTTTCATGCTCATAAAAATCTTTTTGAGATTTTATTTAGAACTGCATTGAAATTATAGATTAATTTGAGAAGAATTGACATTTTTATTATTAATAATAATTATATTGTACTTTACATCAATTAACTCATTTAGTTCTTATAACAACACAGTGAAGTAGATACTATTTTCATTTCTGTCTTACAGAAAAGGGAAAGAAGACAAAGAGAGGTTAAGTAATTCACTCTACTTATACAACTAGAAAAATAACATATCCAGAAACATAGTATGTCATTCCACTTAAGTGTTTAAATATTTCATTCAATAAAGTTTGATTTTTTATCATAGTTTTGACACATTTCTTAGGCTGTTTATTCCAAGGTGTTTTATAAGTTTTGTTGCCACTGTGAGTGAATATTTTCCCCATTACTTTGCAGATTGCTTAGTGCCAGCATATAGGACAGCAAGTCACTTTCACATGTTGATCTTATGTGTGACTATCTGATAAAATTCTCTTGCTGGTTCCCAGAGTTTTAAAATATTTCACAAGTATTATATATTCACTGTGATAACTGATAAGCCAAAACCAGAGCATCATACATGGGTGTATACATGCACATAATGTGTATGCATACACACAAATATGCAAAGGACACACATGCACACACAAACACACATAAGCATGTACAATATGCTGCAGAGTGCATAGACACTTCAACAGGCTTCCTGGGTTTCAGCCCTGCTGGCTCAGCTTCTACAAGTCCTTGACATCTATCCCTCCAACAATAGGATCCCTGCCAACTCAGAGCCAGAGTGACAAACCAGTTGTCTCAGGTCATCCCCCACCCTTGAAGTCACCACCTGTATAAAAACTGCAGTGTTTTCCTCTTTTGAGTTCTCAGTTGAGCTGTTCATTCCTTTCAAATTCCACCAAGTCAAAGCTCTTTTCTGCCTACTCTTGGATAGTCTAGTTTAACTGCCCTTGGGTAACCAGATCTTCTAATCAGCCTGATTATCTCCAAGGCAACCAGTACTTGAGTGCTAACTTCTCCTTTACTAGCCTGGAAACACAAAAGCTCCAACCCAGCTCTGGGTATGGAGAACCTAGGCCGTGGCTTGGCTTTCCTCTTGGGAAGGGGTAAAGCTATCTTTTATTCCTAACCAATCAGTCTAAAGGAGTGGGAACAAAACTCACATTAATTTCTTATAGAGCATCCTATTCTCATACTATTCCTAGATTACTGAGCTTATTTCAGGAGTAGGTGTGGGAATTTTTAAACTCCTTTTTCAGCATCTATTGCAAGAATCATATAGATTTTCTTTGTTTTTCTATTTATACAAGGAATTAATACATTCCCCATTAACTATTTAACCACCCTTTTACTCTTATAAAAAGTCCTACTCCATTGATACTGTGGGGGACTGGAATTGGCCACCCCAGGATATGTCTCTTTGGCATGAGGAATATCTTGGGCTGGTTACTTTTAAAAACTGCAGACGGGAAAGAAACTCTGAAAAGTAGAATTTACTTAACCTTTGTTAAGAGACATTTACATTGTAAAGGAAATCTCCATCTGTAAATGTGTCTCCCTCTCTGTACCAGGAAGGAGGGGTGACCTTATCTCTAGAAACTCTTATCAGTGTGGAAGGCAAGAACTCAAGTCTGCATAATAACCTGACTCTTGTTTACTGCACTTGTGTGGTAACCTCCTATAACTGACTCCTCCACCCCCAACATCCTCCTTTGTCTTTAGCTGAAGATGATATTTAAGGTGGTGGCTTCAGCCATTTTGGTGAGTTGCTCAGTTTGCCTGAGCCTCTCCCATGTACACATGTTATAAAGCTTTGTTTAATTTTCTCCTGCTATTCTGTCTCATGTGAATTTAATTCGTTCTCCAGCCAGAAGAACCCAGAACGGGTAGAGGAAATGTCTTCCTCCCCTACAATATATTATTCTTGTAATGTACTGCTAGTTTTGATTTGAAATATTTAAAAAAGATTTTTACTTTTATAATCTTATGTGAGATGTAGAAAAAGCTATTTTGGGCAGTCTTTGCTCAATTTGGTGTTTTGCTAGCCTTATAGAACAAGTAAAGGAGTTTCATATCTATTCTATGCCCTGAAACAATTTAAATAAACATGAAAAAAAAACCCCTGTCCTTAAAGGTTTTGTAGAACTCACTCATAAAATGGTCTGGGGCTGATGCCTTTTTTAAAGGGAAGATGTTTTAAAATTATGTTTTAAATTTTTTTCTATTGCTACTTACTCAGTTTTACATTTTCTCTGATATTATTTTGATAATCCGTATGTCCCAAACAATTCTTTCCTCTAAAATTTTAAATTTATTGACATAAATATTAGACATAATTCTCTTTTGATTTTTCAAGTATTATCTGTATCGTTGGCTGTCCTTTAATTCTTATTTCTCGTGTTCCTTCTGTCTCCCTCTCTGTCATCAGAATTACCAAGACTTATGTATTTTATTGGACTTTTTAAAGAACTAACTTTAATTTATCTAGTCTGATTTTGGGGTTATTTTCTATTTAATCTATTTCTGTTTTTCTCTTTTAAAATTCATTCCTAATTTTTTTTGTTTTGTTTGGTTCTTTTTCTATCATTGTGAGTTGAGAGCTTAATCCATTTATTTTCTTTCTGGTTTTCTAATAAATGCACTTAAGAATGTACATTTCTGCTAAGTATTGCTTTGGCTGCATGCCATAGATGGGAAGTATACTACTCTCACTGATGTTCCTTCTATCAGTAATTTTAGATGTGATTTCTCTTTTAAGCCAAGAATTGCTTGAAAATGGTTTTAAATATTTCAAAGTGCCTTCATTTTACCCTCACATCTGTTTTTCAATAGATGAATTCAATTGTGCTCTTTAAATATCACAAATAGGTCTTAAGTATCATTAGCATCTCATTGTTTCCAGAGCTGGGCAGCTCCCAGATGTTTTTCATCTGCCTGCAGAACAATTCCTTTATCAGAGACAGATACCATCCAAAACCTTTCTGATATCCTTGTTTTTAACTCTCATGGGTTTTTCAACTAAAGCAGCTGAATTCAATACAAGTTTAAAGCTGTTTCCTTCAAGAATTAACTCATCTTTCTTAGCTTGAGATACTGAACAAGAAATGGTCTGGCCTTATCCAAATCTTGTGGATATATTTTTAACCCAAGCAATTTCAGATTT